CTTCAGTTATCAGTGTTCACTGATGACATCATCTGACTGGCCCTCTAGAGGTGAAATGACGCCAGGAAAAGCGGACGTTTGTCGTCTGCTTCACAGCCCGTTTTATACCCGATATTTAGGGCATTTCGCAGCACACACAAGTTGTTTTTATCGACAGAATTCATTCATAGATCTCAAATTTCATGGAGAGAGTGTCAAAATACACACATCTGCTCCCCTTTAATCGGAGTCGGCGGCAAAATGCATAAAGGGGGGGGGGATCTGCTCATCATCCATCCCCTACAAAAATCTAGACACTCTGAAACGCTATTTTCTGCAAATTTTGCTGATTTTTTTTGTCGCCGCCACTGCATTAGCTCTCGAATATGACGTCATATACGAGTTGAGTACGTGTTAATCTATATGAATATTACTGTGAAAAGTGGGCGTCAAAACAGAACTAACTGGCAACACTGTCGTTGTGGCGTTGTTGGGCTTGCTATCGACTGAACATGTGCAAATAACCGAAAAGGCCCCCTATCGATTCAATGAGATGAAACGTCCCAAATTGAAAATGAGATTTTGATTTTCGTCATTCATATCAAAATCCTGTTTTGGAAACCAAATGTCGCCGCCACAGGAATAACTCAGAGAATCACAGCTAAACTTTAAATTGTGATTTAAATTTACATACCGCAAATTCATAAATTAAAATTACGTCAAAAACTACTAACATTCATACTACCAAATACATTATTTAAAAAATCACGTGGTGAACATTCAATCAGAGACATAATAATTGTGATAATTTCTTTCATCTTGAGCCCAACGAAGATTTCCAATGACACCTGTCCAGTTTTCAAATTGTTTATAATTGTGTATGTAGACCAGGTTCTTGTATTCTCCTGAATGCTAACAAGTAAATGTTTATGTAATTTAACACATCAATCTCATATACGCCTAAGAGAATATATATAATTTAAAAAAATATTCCCATATTCCCGTCTTATCCAATTTTTACTTTCGGCTTTTCCCCGATGCATAAATAAACTGACCCGCTACCCCATTCATCCATATGCATCCATATGACTCTTCTACCAGTCCGTTTTTTATCCTAGCTCCTCTTCACAGTTCTCAAACATTATTCTTATCTCAAAATTGTATTCATTTACCCAACCTTCTGCAGGCTTTCTTGGATTAGGAAAACCAGAGATAAATGTAGTTACAAGGTAAATCTGTCCGAGCAACCTATTTTTTTTTCATAATTTCAACCCGAGTAATCAATTCTGTCCTCAATGTAATAAAATAAATAATCATGATGTAGAAAGTACGCACATATAACGAGGATAAAAAAATATACCAATCAACTGAAAATGTCTCTTCGTTAGCACCGTGAATCGAACTGCATTGCCCAAAACAAGTTTGACTAACGCTCCTACATTCTTCTGGGATACTCGTGTAACTGGTGTTACAGTATTTGAAGTTGCGGAATCCACAGATCTTGCAAAAATACGGTTATAGTTTAGTGTACTCATATATGTAAACAATATCTACGCGAACAATCCGAACAAGGATAAATAGAATCTAACCATGTTTAAACTAACGGTACAAGATATCTGCTGGAAATAGGGAGGTATGGGCTCGTCTTATTCTAATTAGTGAGTCAGTTGCACATAAATACAAAAAAAAAACACCGTTTGATACGTGTATCTATTGGTAGGCGTCGTTGTACCCTGAGCAATGAACAAGTCTATATAATATGTCTGACGTTGAGGTTTATTGGCGTTTTTCTCGATAGGTCACCTCTATTTTAGGAACATGTCCAAGGAATAATAAGTAATATTTTCTTCTCACAAAGGTGTTGTACATTATTGGTGCAGTCAATATACATATTTATCAACCCGCGGGGAGCAAATATATATATATCGACCTTGGCCGAGGTCACTATTAGAGCATACATCTTACCGAAGATACATGCACAGATTCCACATGATCGCAACAAGCTGACGCTATCATGTAATGTAGTGTGCTTGTCACTGTGCTGACACCCCTAGAATTATAAATTCATTATCTATGGATATGTATGTCCATTTGGAACGATAATAATTCAGTTTTATTTGTAAGTCACAATAATGCAGACTTATTATTAAGCAAAGTTTGTCAAACATATTTGTATTATTCTTGTAATCATCTCACTAGAGTTATCATATCTGACGTGTAGGCCGATATTTCATAGTCGATCAATACCAACCAGTGTTACAACACAAGTGAGCTTTGTAGGATAATGTCTGGTATGTCTGGTATAACGTTTTTTATTTGTACTTATACTTCTTACTGACAATTCATCATGGAATACTGATAGTGTGAATTCCAAATTAAATTTAGTCATTGCAGTCAAATATAAATATACCTATTGTATTATTAGAACTTGAGTGAGTAATATTAGTTTTATAAAGACATAACTCATTCAAAAACTGAACACAAAACGTGTTACACCTGAACAAAGTGTTGTGATGTTACCCGCCGCTCTCGCTACTACATATATCAAATTAACAGTACTCGCAGTTAAGCTCTATATACTTTATTTCTTCAGAATTGTTTCATTAGTTACACATTTACTGATTCCAAGAATAGACGGATATCATCCTCATTTCTCTCAGACCAGAGTATATTCGTTTCAACTCGCTTAACAGCTTCGTTGAAATCGTTGGCTGCTTCGGCTGGCATATCGCTGTGAAGATTCCCGAAGGCGTTCAACTAAAATGAGGCGAAATATACATGATAGTCATGTTATTAACTATGATAATACTTTAATCTCGTGGTCTCGCCAATGAGCGATGCATACATTATAATTACAACGTATTTTGTATATACTGCAAATACAACTTTTTTGCAATAATAATACAACTAAATACAATTGCGCAGTATATAGATGATATAATGGAGGCAGTAACAAATCACGAACGATCATACAATATCAAATTCATTAAACTCATGTTGTAATTTTATAGTCGTAATTTATTCAAGGCAGTATGGCGCGTCTAATTTGCATAACACGTTGCCGTTTATGAACAACCATTACGTTGGTTCAGTTACCCTAATACGATTAAGAAATAACGTGTTTTAAAACTGTAATTGTGAGATGCATGAACTTAAATGGCTTCAAATCAGAGAATACAAAGAAGCAAATGTCAGTCATCTTAAAACTAATAACATACACACATCTGTACTGTTATTGATTTATCTAAAAAAAGTAATGGTTTGAATAATGAACCAAAACCAAAACGCTCTATGATGCTTGTAATACGCGTCTGCGTTGGAATACAATTTAGAATCTGTGTGAAAGAGATGCCGTTCCTGACATTAACATGATTTGGAATTCAATATCTTAACACGATTATATTCGGCATTTGTTTGTATGTCGAATAATTTAGTGTTTATATTGTATTCTTGTGAATTTAAACAATCGATTTTTAAAGTTTTTTTTTTTTTCAAAATTAGACCACAGAACCCGAACGCAGTCCGTCGGTGTTCAGTCAGAATCGCAGCGATAAAAAACACGCGTTCTAGCGATCGGATTGGATTTTTTAAAAACATTGACATCAAAAGTCCCGCCGTTACTTGTCGACCCAGAGAACGGTGGTTTGTTACCGTATGGTACCGTTGTGTTTGAGCCGGGCCCAGTGTTGCATGTAGGATTAAACAATATATTTTAATTCACTGACGTAAAATTATTTCGGACATTACCTCAAGCAAGTCTTTGTCTGTATTCATTTTATCAGCAAATTCCCATACTATATCGTATGCACTATCCCCATATCTGAAATTGATAACAAATAACAATATTTCCTTTATTTTAACAACTTTTCGATTTCAAGATTAGATCCATCATCACAGGATATTTAATGTTTGTCCTGTTTCAAATCTACATATCGCTTTTTTATTCTGCAAATTCTATTTTATCTTACCTAACATGAACACATACATAAGTAAGAAATTAATGCATTTACATATATTCTGCATTATAAATTCACCTAATGTGCACATATTTTGTGATATGTGTAAATCGGTCTGTACATATAATCTTGACATCGATTCACTGAGAGTCATTTGTTTTACAAACACAATGTACGATGAATGACATAAGCAACCTGGTTATGCAGATTAACATTGGCTGACCTTATTGATCTCCGTAATTACGACAATTCAAATTAATATAAGTCAGTCATTATCTTAACTGATCTTCCAAATTGCACGTATTCTGATGGCATTTGACTATACACAATTCATACCTGTTTTTCACCTCCAATTACTAATTGATACAATTGTTTGCTGTTTCCTCACACCCGGGAGCATATGCTTGTTGTTGTTTTTTTAAATGATCTTTTCGCATTTTCCTCACTCAAAATAGACATACACAAACCATACAATAAACTGCCTCCCTATTACAGTTATCGGTCTAGCAAACTAGACAAACAATCGTGTTCTGTCTGCTTTGTTTCTCTCTTGTGTTCATTTATCTCTGTATTTGACAGACAGACATGCAGACAGACAGACATACATACATACATACATACATACATACAGACAGACAGACAGACAGACAGACAGACAGACAGACAGACAGACAGACAGACAGACAGACAGACAGACAGACAGACAGACAGACAGACAGACAGACAGACAGACGGACGGACGGACGGACGGACGGACGGACGGATGGACGTGTATATTTTCAAACAATTAACTTACATTGTGTTCAGGGCTACAAAGTTTTCAACTGTAAAACTCCAAGCAAGGCTAAATCCCAACGCTGAGTTATCTCTTACAAATCCAATAGTAAGTTCTGCGCTAAACTCGTCCCCTTCTAGAGCCTCCTCCATGTACCTGTTGTATACAAATGTCATTCTAACAACGCAGTCATAAAAGCCTCTTAACGCCTTATCCACCTAAGCACTTTTAGCTTTCAAATGATTTCAATACGACACGTAAACGACGCAAATGGTACATATCGTCATTACGGCGCTACCACTACTTCATTCAAATTAAACTGAAATCATACACATACCCTATTAACAGCCATTCTAATTGCGTGCAACCCATGGCGGATCGTAAACGAATACGTTCTTGTAGATCTGTTTTCTGTCGATTATAAGCAAAATTCCACTCGGTTTCACCACCATGACGAATGGCTGTACAGTAGACGTTTCTGCGCATATTTTCGTGTATCCTGCAAATATGCAAATTATAATACTTCAATGCACAGGAGATCGTCGCAGCTTTCGTGACACTGTGTAGCGCGTAACGATTATTAACCTAAATTCTAGTGAAACAAAGTAACTCAGAATGCAGGTTAGCTTCGTAATCGTTCTTTGAACAACAAACATAATTATTACAAAATATCACACAAATACTCGGAAACAATAATTATAATAACTTCTATTTATAAAAGATAATAAACCGGCATTAATATTAATTGGTCAATATGGCGGAAGTGGCAAATCAGCGGGGTATGTGCCATACTTAACTGATAACTGATACCACCGATGAGAAGTCAAGATTGTATGATGACATTACTGTACATTACTTTGTGTTGTACCACATACCTGGCAATTAAAAGTTGATTTCTTTGGAATTCACACTTGTTCATTCATAGTAACAAATAGAAAAAGAACTAAAATTTAAACTGACTTGTTGTTGTCTGGGTAAGCCATCCATTCAGAGTACTGGTACGTAGCATCGGCAACACAGTCGACGTGATTATAATCACATGCTATTCTCAGGGTATCTAAACGTCGATAACTTACAAACAACAAGAAGAAAAATAGTACGACTTTTAGTTCGAGTTAGTAAATAAAACTACGCATGAAACCATATGATAGAAAGTCCAAAACTTACTAGTCAATGTCGTCAGTCGGGTTCCAATACCATCCCAACGAGGCATAATTTGGGCTCACTAAATAACGAATGTATTGCTGAAAGGAAAAACCCAAAAAGGCAACGTTATAGAGAAATACGTTACACACCTTATATTGTCTGACACCAGGAACAATGTCGGGACAAGCCTATTGTATGAATACCAACTATCCAATGATGTCATCAAACTGTAATATGAACTTATGGTAACTGACCTGCAACAAGCCATACGTAGACGTTCGCCATAACATGTACTTTGTATAGTATTGTTCATCTTCGTAGGCTTGCCATGGTATATATTCAGTCTCGTTGTACAAATACTGAATTATTTCCATGGATACAACGTGATCTAGTTGTTGAGCTTGACCTAGGACTAGGGCATCATTTATAAGGTGTGCTCGATTTTTTACAGGGAGTGCCTGCATAAATAGGAAATTTTAATTAACATACCGAAAGCATATATGTCATTATTTAGCGAGTATTAAAACATATATGAGTAATAATAGAATATGGTACCTTATGATTAGTTAACAATTGTTGGGTCAGTTTTCTCCAATTCTCCAAGTCATAGTTAACCCGGATAAAAGCAGTTTGGTTGACATTAGCAATGTACCAATTAATATCATTAGCGCCAACCAATGTGAGCTCCGCTGAATTAGAGACGAAATCAGTTGCATTACTATGTATGTGAATTTTCCGATGTATTTCTCTTGGACACTGAATGATATTATTGCAGTTGTTTCTTCTCAGGCGTCAAAATTCAAACTGACTGTATCGTGGTCCCAAAAATATATTCCATGTTTGAGACTACACAATACGGCCGACATGTACTATCCAGGCGTCAACCGGGATATATTGAATATAATTATAGATGGCCATGGTTTCCTAAAAACTCGCACCTTAGCAACCTCGCCACGATTATTCAGACATGTTGTACGTTTCCATGGCATTACACCAGTTTTATCTCGTACTCACATGATGTTAAATGAAGCCATTCTATATTTGGATTGGTAAACAATTTTTCAGCTTCGTGGGTGAAAGTTAAAGGAATGTGCCATACATATCTGTGGCGATATAAAATGATATTAATTAATGACCTGATGATGGTCAAAAAAACATTATTCAATTGCATTTGTTTATACATCAAGTAGTCGACTGAGTTTTAAATTGACACATTGGTATTGTGTGTATGACAACAAAAATGTGCGAGAGTAGTAGAAATATCAACATACCAAACGATATCCAAATGTATAGTCTATACAAGTCCAAGAACACAAATGACTCGCAAACAACTCACACAAACACTTACCTGACAAGAACACCACAGTGCACAGTCAAATCAGTAAGAAAAAGAGCCAATAAACATTGTGGTATGCATGAAGTTACGCGTTTCAGAAAAGGTGAGCACATACTGCCCTGAATTATTTTTCAAGCAAGTTATTCAGAAATTGAACTTGAATGAACAAAATTTATCATTTACACGTTTAACTCGACTACTGCATTTTTGTGCAATCAGAACAGATCACACAAACAATCTAGTATTTCTTACCCCAGATTCCCATATTCTTCATCTTCCACCACGTCGTAGTGATCTAACAAGAAGTGTCCCTGGTCGGCTTGTACAGCAGTGGTCGATGTTCGAGTGAGGTTAACAACGGGGAATCCCATTTGTAAAGTCCATGGGTCCATAAGTTCTTTCATACTATATCCGAAAATATCTTTCATGTTTCCCCCCATATCAAGTTCTACTGTCTGTTAGTGGAAGGAATTAAATAGCGTAAAGAAACACACAGTTATGTTTTTGTTCCACGTTTCTCATTTGATAATTGAATATTAATTGAAATAATGCATTTGTTATCACCACTTTCTTGATTGCTTACCTCTGTTAAAACACCCCATAAATCATCAGATACGGCGTTGTCGTATGCAAATCGATTGAGATAATTACGGAAACCTTCAAACATCAGCTGTTCTCCTAGGAACCCACCCATCAACATGATTATGGATCCACCCTGTTAAAGTTATGTAATATTTACGAAAAAAATATCAAACGGCGGGAACATCAGTTTGTACATATACACACACTGGCAATAACAAGTGCGTGCATGGAACCGGTCAAAACTGAGTAGTATATTCGTCTCTGGGGGAGGGTTAGTGCTATTATGATACTAATTTCATTTAAAAGGAAATCTGATATACAGGAATAAGTTTAAAGAACCAACGACCAAATTAAAATGTGTTATACATCCGAAACGTTTTACTTGCAATCGTGCTAAAATAAAAATGGGCCTTGGAACTAGCATACATCGATTGTAGATACATCGAGCTGTGGTACAAATTCGCACCCGTATTTCGGAATTGTAAGTTTTGTCCGCGGCGGCAACTTCTGATGTGTGTAAACTCGTCTCAGTTGACTTACTTAAACAAAATACAGACATTGATAAGAGCCGTGAACCCGATTGAGTTTCGCCAGATCGATAGACATTTTTTTTGGGTTCACAAGCGAGCCATAGCAGACGACAATAATTTTTGTCTGGCGTCGTTAATGCTTAATTCAGGAAAATTTGTTTTTCTGATGCTTATTGTTTGAAGCATGGAGGGTCGCAATGTTCTTGGTTATGCACTATTTCCGTAATATTTTTTGCCGATTTCAGTTCACAGGAGGATTTAACCCTACTGTGCGTTATTCAAGTATGGAGGAAACAGGAAACCGTGGTATATCGTATATTTGACTTGAATAATTAGAAACACGTTCTCGACCAATCAGAACGACATATTCAGGCAGTTGAGATACTGGTATTAAATAATTATTTATCCCATATATATAATGGCAGTTCAGTGTAAAAAGTAGTATAATCATGTTTTATATTCCCATATTATGTAATAAAAATTCCAGCAATTTGATTTATTGAACTTATGACATAATGGCTGACTATCGCAAATTACGCCATTATCTCGAGATGTTTTTCGTTTTACACAATATTTCTTGAATTATGAATATTAAAAAGTATGTTTATTCAAATATTGTTGGTGATTTTAGATGTTGGCTAAAACGCGTGTGTGAAATAAATCCGCATTGATGTATTGATTTCAAATTCTTTTCAACCTCAAATTTCCGCGCACAAAAATGTGTTTTACCCGTGGCCAATAAAACGGTGACTGTTTGAATTGAACCCTAAATTAGTAATTATATTACCAGTTCATCTCCAAAATCGTGAATTTTGTGATTGCTCAAAAATTAGCTATATTTCTCAATTGCAACAGGGTAAACTGAGGGCAATCGGTGTAATGCACGGTTATAGGTTATGCAAATGAACGAGAACGCTATATGCAAATGAGCAAGAACGCGCTCCGGAAATATGATCACTGTGTGGGTTTTCAGCTTTCAGAAACTGCGAAATAGAAACATTCATGTCCCTACAATATCACATTTATTATACTCATTTAATAAATCTGATACAGTGAAGGGCATATAACTGTGGTCGTTATAAACGTTTCATAAGAATGCATTTTTAATAAATCTGATACAGTGAAGGGCATATAACTGTGGTCGTTATAAACGTTTCATAAGAATGCATTTTTATAAATTAAAATGGATGTTAGAATTAAAAGTGTCCAAGCTGGAAATTGCATTGTGAGATCATCATTTAATTAATATTAATGAACAGTTCAACATTATCCAATCAATCAACATTAACATTAACCCAACAAATAATCTTGTCTGTGTGTGCCTTAAAGCTGCTATGAAATGAACAAAGTTCAATTCATGGCAGTGTGTCGTCACGTGGTAACGACTCCACGCACATGAAAACATAATATATCCTACATGAAGACATAATAATAACCTATTTCAAAGAGGAAAAAATTATGCAAAATAGTTTACCCACCTTGGAATACGAGATAGTGTCAAACATTCCTAGTATTTCAATTTCACTTCCAACGTCCATTATCAGTGGGCGAGAATCACCTTGTTGGTCTTTCGAGAAAGCACTATATTGCACCTCCTTCTGGAAGAATTGTTCATACTGCCAAAAAAAGATAACAGCAATAACTATGTGGAAAATTCAGTTATATCGATAATAAACACTTATGTAACTTTTTCACGACAAACACTTACCATTTCAAACCCCGGTTCCACCCAGTCCGTGGCCAGATATTCGTAATATGTAGCGAAACCTTCATTGAGCCAGGTATGACTCCACCACTCCAATGTTACTAAATTACCAAACCACTGAAACCAATACAATTGATAAATTGAAAATTTATCATGTGTGAAACTTAAAAATTATACTTTACATATGTCGTATTTATTACCTGGTGTGCGAGTTCATGTGCAATAATCTGTGCAACGATTTTTCTCTGTGCTGGACTATCCTCCACTGGACTGTATAATAAATACGCTTCCTGGTAGAAGATCAGACCCCAGTTTTCCATCGCACCCGCAGAAAAGTCTGGTAACGCAGACATATCTACAAAGAATATAATTATGACAATAGTCTGCACATCGGCAATAGGATGCTATTGTAATATGCAATCTAAATCACCAGTCAATAATACAACACAATATACAGTGTTGTCAAGCTATGCCCCAAATTGGTACATTATTTGGACAGTGAAAGTATGGTATATATGAACTATCAGGTTATTCAGGTTTAATTCCCGCCATCTTACCCATCTTCTCGAGGGGGTATGCAATATTCCAAAGATCTTCAAAATTACTAAGTTCTATCATTCCTGCTTCCAATGCGTATTCCACCTTATAAAGGAAGGACGGCCGAGTCCATACCCGAAACTGTTACAAATACAAATAAACCAGAATGTGAATGCAAACTTTGGCGGTTGTTGTGTAATGTAGTACATTGCACGGTACACCACAATAGATCAGCAAATATGCTACCACCTTATTACAAAACGCCATATTACGTGACTCCATAATAACGCAACATCACACGGCTGAGTATACTTACAATATATTATGTGATAAATGCATAGTGTCACGTGACAATGTGTTCTATTTTATCAGATTGATTATATGCATATTGTACGATATCATCACATGTGCAAACAAAGATTCATAATATGAGTGACTTGGTTCAATTTATCACACCTGTGATGAAAGAAGTGATTACAGTACTACTGTCCTTTCGGACCACGTCACACAACATAAAATAATATCTCTTACCTTTATACCATTCCGTGTAGTACCTTCTACACATGCCCAGTCACCAACAGTGTAGGCGTTCAGATAAGTCGACATTTTGACGGTTGTAGCAAAGTAGGTAACACTCCACACTTCATCGGTGTTCGGATCATAGTAGGTGTCGTTTAAAATGGAATCCGTGTTGGACAGTGCCACGTATTCCGGTCTGTACACTAATGTGGTGTCGAATGTTGCTTTTAAAGCTGGCTCATCGAAGCAAGGAAAAACTCTGCGTGCTGCTGTTGCTTCTAACTGACTACCAACAAAAGTTCTACAAAAAGATGTACATCCGGGGAATATTTAGTTAACATGGATGAATATATGTAAACCAGTGTAGTTATTTGTATTTGTCCGATCTTTGGAGTTGAATAAGTCTTACATCATGGGTAGCGAATTTTGAAATTCTATTTATCCATGTATCCGATTCACAACTATTTCCTAAATGAAAAGTAACATTCCTTTGTTATTTGTATGTGCACGCCCTAGCCTTATTAGATGTTATGGCTTCCCGGGAGAATGACAATCGTTGCGTAACAGTCTCAAATTGCTGATAAAGTGTGTGATATGGTGAGGGATGATATCAATAATATTACATGGATATGTGATAAAATAAATTGCTAAGTAATCATGCACATAATGAAGTGATTATCTGTTAAGATATTTACGTGGGAATTGTATAACCTGTTATGATAAGATGTTCTTCGCGTTGGCTACATTAATAAATTCCAAATACTTGTACCTATGGCGACGAGTAGGGTGCCATTGATAGACACCATAGACGTTTTTTGACAACTTTTATCTTGCAATTTAAAAACGACACAAAGTGAACTGTATTTGAAAACAGACTAACATGTACAGCACACATTGTTGACTAGCTAAAAAAATATTATGAGATCTTACTTTTTACTTACAACTGACCGGAGAACATGCTTTGATTAATATATGTTCTATAATATAACGAATTTAATCTGACACTCACTTATTGCTGGCGTCTTCTACGTAATGACCATAGTATAAACCCCACAAATCTGGGTGATCAACAGTAGCTATATATTCCATATATAAACGATAATTGACCCCGGATTGCAGGGGAGCCATTGCGGTTATGATGTACAAATCCCATTCGTCGATCGTAGCGTTACCGGCAGTCTGAAGGAGTTTATCCACCTCGCCGCTGATGTCATAAAGTTCGTATTTTAAAATTGTCATATGCTTGTAATGAACTGTAATATTGCGAGTATCTTCAAGACAGTTAAAATAAATATCTACGTTACCGTCTAGATCCAGAAACTTGGCTCCGTCTTTTTCCGCTGTGAAGTATGGTTGAAGCCACACTCTGTAGTTATAGGGCGCTAGTGTTGTGGGAAGTCGCTCCCCGAAATCGTCATATTTGGCGGAAACCTTTTGGCTGACAACGGGCATTTTCTCCAGGGGCCGTGGTATCTCTGCTTTGACACCAGCGTGGTCACATCTAATTTGTGGGATGCAGTATAATAGCCACAATATAATTATTGTAGCTTGCATCATAGTACTGCGTGTTTTACCGTAATCGCCATCCATCGTTTGCCTCATCCCGTGTTTGCGTCTCCAATGGTAAATCCGCACAGCCGCATAGAAGTTTTACATGGAACTGAAACCGCGTGTTACACGTGGCACAAACATCCGTCGCTTTCTCAGTGAATTGGATGCACGTTACAACGCGTAAAAGCAATTCGATAAGAACTGTCGACCTTAGGATGGCGCCACAATTTGACACATTTTCTGGATTCCGTGGTGGACCTTAAATATTATTTCTATATCACAAACTCATGGTTTTCAATTCAAATAAATGCTAATTAATTCGTAATTCGATCAATTGATTCTAGTTGGGCTGAGCTTAGTACTATGACAACAGATTAGCAAATGAAAAGTTGATCCATGATTCCGTCCATTTTTAACGTAGTTTATTTCACATTTAGGCACAACAATAGTAAAATTACTAAAGCAGCGGCAACACCTAACTGATGCAGATACTTATAGTAATTTCATTTGCAAATTCAGTAAAATTGTATCCGGCACTTCATCGTGACACACAGCCTATCGATAGAAATATGCGTACACGGTATCATATTTCAAATTATTTCGTCATTTGGCGTTTAACATAGTACTCAGAAAAGAGAATGCTTGCATCCACTTGAAAAAAAAAATTACCCGGTGTCAATGAACCTGCATTTACTGCGTAACTGGCTGTTGTATTATGTTTTTTTATTAAATAAATCTTTGGTTTAACGCCATAAAAAAAACATCTTTTTTCTTTGTCCGACAATTCGGTAGGCGCTATATGAGAAAGATTGTCAGCGGCGCGACACGGTTCAAATTAAAACGGAACAGTATTGTAATGTAATGTCGGTGAACTTTCTCCATCGCTCAGGTACTTGAATACACTCGACGACGTCCACTCGGCGATCGCTTAATCAAAATACATGCACGTTGCCGACGTTGGCATATCTTGCGATTTGCTTGCCCCCTTCCGATTTTCTAGCCAACAGATGGGCGTGATAGACTGATAGTCCAGTCAATTTATGGTTTGACCCATCACAAATTGCAGCAGAAATAATTTTTTCACAATATATTCCGTGGAGGTGCCTATATTAACATACTAAAAGTTTAGGAAAATTTAGGCTTCCGAAATATATCTAATTTGCATATATTCAAATGGGGGTTTGGTGCATTTTTACAACATGGAAAATATAACAATTAAAACATATCTTTAAATTTAGATGACATTTTTTTAGATATTCAAGTTGCTGCGATATGGTTTGGTGTGTGTGAATGTATGTGATTGTGAAACATTTGATTGAATAACAACCATTTGCATAAATCCAATATGGCCGTCAAAATAGTGTCATTTAAATGTGCAACCTCGGGTGGACCCTCGGAGTCTGTTCCTCGTAATGAAACTGTCACTCTCTGTAAGACTGTCACTTCCGGGATCCAGAGTCCTGCATTTGGTATTGCTTTGGATCCCGCCGAGTGCTTGACGTAGGGGGAACGCACAGACGGTGTTGATGGACGGACCTTGGTCCCCCGCTTGATAGAGGCATAAGTCCAGGTAGGTAAATTTTATGCTCAACCTTTTTCCGCTGGACCAAGCGCTACCCGATTGAGTGGTGTTTGAGACCGGAGCCAGCAGAGTCTGGACTCAAATCATGCGCCCCGATCGGATCATTCCGTTCCTCCCCCGACTACGGTCACGGTACCACGATTTTTTGGGGTTTGGTGGGACGGGCAAAGGGGGTGGCTGCGTTCATAGAATATTTCGACCGGTTAGTCGCGGGGTGCTCCCCTTCAGGTTTTGCATGGTGGCTCCATACGTATTCACCAGAGTGTGGAAACAGGTGGTACTACTGCTGCACCGGTACACATCACATCGGTACACATCAACGTGTATCTAGATGGCTGGTTGCTACACAACCCAACAAGGGGTGGTTAATCAAATAGCAAGGCTAACACCAGATTGTCTAGACCAGTTGTGCTTCCTAGTAAATCGAGCAAGTCACAACCTCAGCCAACACAACAGTTGGTGCACCTGGCCAGAGAGTTTGACATGGAGGTGAGCTTGGTACGGTCGCCACAGGCACGTTGCCTAGCTGAATGCCTAGTCAGCGTTCCCTCTGTGTCCATCTGAGAACTAATGCGGATCAACGGAATGATGTCAGCGGTTCACAGGGTAGTTCCCCCAGGCCGCGTTTTACAGCCGCCCGTTACAGCGCACTTTTGTTGCAACACGGCTATGACTCTGGAAACGGATGCCTCCCTAAGCCTTTAGGATTCTGATTCTTGATTCTCTATAATTTTGAAACATGCTGTTGAGCGCGCTTCATTAGATTATTAGATTGGTATTTGTCTCGTATTCCATGGTGAAGACTAATGCACGAATGAATGTAGAGCGACCTATTTAAATAGTTCGGGACATATCATGATAAATTCAGAAACACACCTTTCAACGTATTAAATATCAATAATTATTAATTTCTTCAATTAGATATTTTTGTGATCTATGTTCCATATTTAGAAATACAGCACCAATGCAATCAAAAACGTAATGATATTTGATATAGAGCAATAAAAATAAAAAACGAAAATTAAAAACCAAAAAAAACATTTTAACAAGCAACCCGTACAGGTACCACAGCTACAACAGAACAAAAACAAGTCTATCCGAGTATGTGTCCGATCGTTGCTTAAATTAAACTTGAATCATTGTATAGGAGAGACTTGCCTAAACTGTGGTTTCTTCGTTTTCCTGACATGCATAACAATAGTAATAATAATAGATTTTCGAAGTTGACCGGTCGTATTTCTACAGAGGATTTGTTTTGTCATTGCCTGTTATAGCTCAACGCCTGTATATAACTTATACGAAAGAATCGATAGTACAGGCAGACCTGGCTTCTGTGTCATCTACGTGTCCTCAAAACTCATCCTCAGCTGCTTTTGATGCACCCATGACATAAATAGTTGCATCTATCGTTTACTAAATTCAAAGTCAAAGGCTTCGGGCTTTAAAGAGCGGTGGTCGTCGCGCAGCGCATGTGCGACATTTGTGTTGATAAACATTGATTTTCCCACAATCCAATGCGTCCTTCTAATGGAAATCACAAGTATGAGGTTTGACCTGGGCGCGATTTGCATTGATTACCGCCGTCGACTTCTTCGTTACCTTCCAATCGCCAACAAAATTCCCTGATTTAAGCTTAGTAACCTCTCAGTTTGTACTCTATATTTATATCACGTGGGTTCTACAGATGAGTTTTCCTGTTGTGACTTTGACGAGAACAGCGACCAATTTAGTTACGGCTGAACAAGAGCAATTCCAACTTGACCCTAATGATGAACCTCAAGAAGATCCAGAGTTACCACAGCTATGGTAAATACGATATGAATTACTTGTATCTTGTAGGGTAGTGTACTGTGGATTGTTGATTGTTTTGTTTTTGCGAATTGTTTTGTCAAGTGCTATCAGTCGTTTGTTTTGTGTTTTGGGAAATTTCATTTTTTATTGTGACTTTTGATATACGATTGGGTATGTAGTATATACGTATATAGTTATATGTCGAATTTGGTGGATATCCACTTCAACGCAATAACAGCATTACAATAGGAACAAATTTCGCTCCCTTCATTTATGTATTCTGTGAAAAGTGTCGAAATATCTACAGGTCATTAGATAAACGCTCACAGGAACAAAACATCTGCAACAAAAATGAATGTACCTTCCATCAAACATCCTCGGTTTAGTGATTAAAATAGATACACTTGAAATTAATCCACGCCTTATGTTTCATAGAAATGCAGCTTTAATTTGAGTTTAAATATAGATTATTTTAATTTCGCCATTGCTTATCGTCCACACATCCAAAACAATACCACGTTGTCGTTCCTGTAGCTTTAGTGGGTAAACAAGTTCTAGCTATGGTAGAGCACGCAGTACATATTCAGGGATGCTTAAAAAACATCGTTTTCTTTCGTCCAAACTATTAACTAGCCTCAACAATTTTTTTTTTGGGTAAATACAATGCGTTTACGGTTCAATAATATAAAATGCATAAATTTATTTTCATCACTGGCCACTTCAAGCTGACATTTTTGGGTTAATTAGAATGCTTGAGTGGGTAGCGCGTCAGCCTTCGGTGGCTAGGCGCTACGTCATGTGCGCCAATTCGAGTGCTGCGAGTTCTGTTGCATTTTGTTAAATGAAAGTTCACTTGTCTGTAATACTTTAACTTGAGTGATCGATTGTAATTTAAAAGTTTACTTTTGTTTCACCAAACAAATATGTATGGCACATTCTTTTAACGTACACACATGAAGCGGAATTGAATTTTCTCATGCCATTGAGAACATGGTTACATAAAACCGGAGGTAGGCTGATATAATCGGTGTTTTCCTTTGCTAATGAATACTTTATGTTAGTGTGATGCAGCTAGCATGTTGTGAATTTTCCAAAATCAAAGTACCAGTTCGTAACATTTCACACATTTGCAAACACATTAGACGAAACTTATATTACCGGCACCAAAAACTATTATAAACGAGAAAAAACAACTAATGAGGAAAGTAGTGCATGCACGACTACGTGGACGGCGCAGAACTCTTCGTCGTCACTGATTGGCTGTCTTCATGACCTCAGCATATTGGGAACTCGCATGCGCAGACTGACCAGTACTTTCCCGGCCACAGAATTCCAGGCCGATTCACAAGTCTATTACCTGTAGGTTGTTCAATGTCCCGGCATCTATTCTAACAATTAGTAGTTTCATCAAGGAGAAGATATTCAGGGAAATCACTGTAATCATTTGTATGCGATACTTATGTTTTGTTGACAGGCACTATTAACATAGAGGGCGCAACTAATGTAAATTGGTATATTGCAAATATCAACCAAACCACGTTTATACGAGTCAATTATGACACCGATAACTGGAGGAAACTGATAAAACAGCTGCTGAACGACCACGAGGTGGGTTCGTCTACAGTGACATCGTGATTTTTAGACGATCAATAATATACTCAACAAT